TTTGTGTTTTTCATTTTCTCTCTTCCTCGTTCGATCCTCTCTCTCTCTTTGTTCTTTCTACTTTTTTTATTCAAACCCTCTTTCTTTTACCCTAATTAACATATAATTAAGAATAATAGATCGCAATAATAACCCAGTAATTAACTTAAGGTTACCTCTTTTAACCCCCAAGTAATTAGACTTATTAGCATTAACCCACTAACTTTATAATTAAAGTAGGAATAGTCCAAAACGCCCCTTAAAACATTTAAAGAAATCCGACCCAGCCTGGGATTACGCAGCCTGTGACGGGCCATCGTGCCTGCGACGGTCCGTCCTGCTGCTCCGTCACAGAGTTCAGAGACTGAAATTCTCTGAAGAGTCTGTGATGGTCCGTCACGCCTGTGAGGGTCCGTCCTGCTATTCCGTTACGAAGTTCAGAGAGTCGATTTCAGTACCCATTTTTCAGAATTTCTAAGTGGTTTGAAATGAGACCCCTCGACGGTCTGTCGTGCTCATGACGGTCCATCGTGGGTTCCGTCGTCTCAGCCTGTTTTTCCAGAAATAAAATCTGCTGCTCAAAACGACTAAATAGGTCGTTACAATTAAAATACATAATATTTAATTTTCCTTAAATATTTAGAAATATAACTAATACTTGTTAAACTTATTTTAGTATGACTTAGTACTTTTAGATTATGATTATTTTCATTATGACATTACAATATTTATTTTATATGTTGATTTCATTATTATTTTTTAGTGAATACTTTATGTAATCAATACTCATCTCATATTTTGTATTTTTCTAAAGAAACATCTTAGATAATTTTACTTTGGTTTGCACGAAAGGTGGGGGTGAGGTACTTTTTTCGGCATACAGAAAGAAAATCCAGGATAATGGCTTTCAAAAGACGAGTGAGGGATGTTAAGTGAGCGACTGAAAAGGAGACTAGAAAGAACATGAGAATTAGCACCATTCATATGAGTGCTTTTGTTTTGTCCCTTCGAGTCAATAAAACAAAAGGACAACCCTCTCTATATCTCGGTCTCGGTTTAGCATCATATATCGATGAGCTTCTTTTTTTTGTTGTACTGCGGATGTTGGAGCAACTCCTCTATGTTGTGGGTGTGGAAGGGTGGGGGGTCGCCGCTTGATATATTACTTGAGAGTTACAAATAACTTACATTGTACATGAACATTGATAGATACAATTGAAAGTTTAAAACAACTCTTTTTCTTCTCCCTTCTATTGCTCTCTTATAGTGGTGTTTATCTTATTTCGCTTTGATCTTATAACATGTTATCAATACCAGTTTTTAATTTATTCCAAAGATATGCATAATATGAAAAACAAAAATGTGGGAGATCTTTCTATAAGTATATGGGTATGTATTTTACCAATCATTTACTTACAAACATAATTTATGTCATGATATCACCTTCCCTTGTTATTTAACATTGATTTGGTAACTATAATTCTTAAAAGATTGTTCAGATCTTTATTACTGCTATGTTTGAGATTTTTATGTTTGCATTATTGTTGACATAATTGTTACATCAATAGTAAATGAATCTTAGTTTCTATTGTCATTGCTAGATGAAGCCTAAGGGGTTTCGGAGAACCTTATAAAAATAATTAGGGGAAAAATGGACGGGAAGAACTCTGGATGGGATTAATTATAGATATACTGTCAATTACTGTTTTGGTCTGATCAAGTAGCCCAAACTTTTTTAGAAACTAATATTAGTTTTTATTATTCACTCCATTGTAGATAAATAATTTAAAAGGAAGACGGTTAACTCCTTGTGATATCCATTATTGTGCAGCAAGGTATGTAAGACTATTTTATTTCCTATTTCCTTGGTATGAATCCAACACTTGTAAGCTTTCTAAAGAAAACACCAATTGTATGAAGGCCCAATCCATCGGTGACTTCTTGAAGTTGACTCCAAAATTTCACTTAGACACCTTAACTGAACAATGTCCATTTTAAGCATCTTATGTAGGATTATGCTGTGTCATTTTGACACTTTTTCCTTACGTGATACAATGAGTGCGATACACTCACTATATGCGCGTGAGAAACTTACTTTTTCTAAAAATAAATTAAGCTTGGACCATTGGTCCCATTTTTTTTTGATTTTTTTTTGAAAAAGAACGTCAGATGGACTCAAAATAAGACCATGAAACAGTGAAAACAAACATTAAAAAAAAACAAATAAACAAATAAATTGTTGTACTTTTCCATCCATTTCCTTTTCATCTTTTTTTCCTTATATCTGAAAAATTCTTCTTCTTTGTAGGTGTACCTTCCGGTGAGAAACTTACTTAACTATTTGTTATTTTATTTTCTTTATTTCTTCTCCATTTTCAGCCACCATATTCCCAAACTTAGATTCTTTCCACGGAAAAATAGATATGATGGTGACAGAGGAAGCAGTGAATTTGAGCAACAAATTTCTAACAAACATTTTCTTATTTTGTTTCCCTTCTTCCTCAATTTATTTTGACAAAAAAAATCGATATCTTGCTTTTTCATAAGTATTTGAAAAGAGATAAAGTTTTAATGGTGGAACGTACATCACATCGAGAGCTTCTATTAAGTATTAACCGACATAATTCACATGAGTTAAACATGGAGTCCAATGTATACCCCCATCGAGAGGACCTAATATACCTTGCAAGAAGTATAAAGTCATGATTGTGACATGATCACTAAAACTGATGTGCAATAGAGGGGACTTTCTGAACCTATGTGGCACGTAGTTCTGGGATTGTGAGGGTATGTTGTACCCTCGTCCAACTCGGTGCTAAGTCTACTTCCAACTGAATATTCATGAAGCTAAAATGCACCAAGTACTGAATAGCTTAAAATTGACATGCTAACTAAGAATGCAACATTTATATGCTGAGAATGCGACAACCGAAATTTGGATCACGATTTTCAGTTTAACTGATCTAGCAAGTATAATTCATGTACTAAGAGAATTTACACAAAATAGGGTTCTAAGTTTATACAAGGAATTAGCAACATTTTCAAGAAAACATGTTACTTTAACGTTTTCAAAGTGCCATCTACTACGGGACTGACGGATCATTATTTAAACTTCCGGCCGTCGTCTGGGTCGTGGTTCATGCTCTACCGACAGGGCTACCCTAAAACAAGCATAACTTTTTATTTTGATCTTGGATTTTAGCAAACATGGTGGCTTTTTAAAGAGGAATAAATTATCTTTAATTTGATAGGTCATGGATCACCAAATTCATTCTGTGCTAAAAGATATGACCGTTTGAAGTTGACCCAAAAATCATTTTTCTCTAACTAGCTGAGCTGATGACCCTCACCTACAGTCTGTAGGTCAAACCATGGACAGTACTGGTTGGCCGTAGGTGGGATTGGAGACCACTGAATCTTGAACCTCGACGACAGAAAACCACCTACGGACCGTGGCTCCATCGACGAACCATGGACCACGGCCGTAGGTCTCATCTTTCAACCCTGAAACTCACCTACGAGACCTACCTACAGCTCATGCATGGAATGACGAATTGTCCTAGTGAATGGTCACAAAATCTTGACTCTTATGGGAACTTGAACTGGCCAACCACGGTCCCGCATACGGTCTCTAGTTCTACCTACGGTCCATGGGTGGTTCTTTGGTGCTGGCACTAGTTTTTTGGAAACTAGGATTTTCTCCCTTATTAGATCCGTGGTGTTACAGTTTCTGTTATATTCTAGGTGTTTTGATGATCGTCACAAATGCGGGGACCTGGTCTGTTGTAAAGTGCTCTCGTCCAGATACAAATGGAGTACAACTGTAAAAGTTATCATGTCAGATGGTAGGTGAAAAGTGCAGTGTCCTACACCAATAGGAAGAGCGGACGAGATCGTATGTTTCGGTATCTCACTAATGCAGGGACCTGGTCCCAAGCAGAGTTTCCTCAATCAGATACATATTTGGTTACAACTATAAAGTTGTCATGTTAGAGGTTGGTAAGGCGTCAGTGTACTACACCAATCAAAATGGATGAGGGTGTTTGTCCAGTGGATAATAACTCTTTATGTTTGATAGTTTTAGCATGACAAACACCATATTATATTAATTCATCCAAAGAAGAAAGTCATCTAGCAAGCCTTTTCAAGAACTCACAAAGAAGTTTGCAAGGGAACTGGTCCTCGCAAGACTGCGAAGTGAAAAGGTGAAAAGACAGCCGTTAGAAAAGCCGTGACCTCTGATGCGGTAGGTGCACAACTTTTCCAACAGCAGGCCTTCTTCCAATGGGATGGCTTCAACGAATTTGTGGGAAATTATATTATCTCTTTCCAACAAACACAAATTCAAGATTTGTCAAACTAAAACCAAAAGAGCTTAAAAAGAGAAGGTCATCTTCAAGGAAGAACTCAAGCACAAGAATACATACAATAAAAAATCTGATCAAGAGAAGAAGTGCTTTCTGTACCTGCTATTGTTCTTGAATGTTTGTATTGAGCTTAACTTGTAGGATTCGTTCCATTGATTGTTAAAAACATTTCAAACCTAGTTTGAGTCTTGTAAGAACATAGTTAGGAGTAACTTTTTGTCTTACTGTAAACATTTATATTAATCTGTTGGGTTAGTATAGTGGACGGTATGGTATCTGCTTAGTTGAAGTCTATGTTATCTAGGGGTGATAGCTTAGTGGATAGTGTTGTATCTGCTCTAGCTTTTCTAAGTAATAGGAGGTTTGAAAAGCCTTGTTGAGAACAGGTCGTGGTTTTCCTGCCTTGAGCAAGGAGATTTCCACGTAAATTTGTTTGTTCAACCTTTACTTTCAGCACTTATTTTACTGTTCATTATTATAACTGTGCTGAGGACCTGGTCCCATCGAAATAAGTGGATGAAACTTTTAGTTACTATTCTTGCTTAGTTAAGGAACCTGATTCTTAACTGATAACTAGACAAATACATTCCAACAATTGGTATCAAAGCAGGTGCTCTCTAGCTGGTTAACACCAAGAGAGATTCCTGTAGAAGAATGATTGCTCCACTAAACAGAATTAAGGAAACGTCAAAGAAAGAGGTGAAGAAAGAGAAGTCTCTAGCTCTCAAGGTGACATTAGATAGAACTTATGATGGAGATGATGAAATGACATACCTCCCAAGAAGGTTTCAAAAATTGGTTAGGAAACATAGAGGTTTTCGAAAGGAAAGAAACTCAAACAGAGCTGCAAATGCTAATTACCGATGTCATAAGTGTGGAAAGTCAGGACATTTCATCAAATATTACCCCATGCATAAGGTTGAAAACAAAGAGTTTCCAAGACCTGGGGGTGAAAAAGATAGAAGACGGGACCTACTACCCAAGAGGAAAGTAAGAAAAGCTGCAGATGACTATGTTGAGAAGAAAGCTTTTGCTGTCTTGGGGGATTCCTCAAGTGAGTCGGAAGAAGATTCAGAAAACTATGAGGATGTCTTAATGATAGCCGTAGAAGATGATAAAAATGTCTTCAACTCCATTGTCTCATTAATGGCATAATCTAATGATGAAGAGGATCTAAATGAGGTAACTCTTTTTGACCTTAAATATGATCTAGATACTCTTCCAATTTTAGCTTTGAGGAACTTGCTGCTCGTCTTATTGACTCTGTTGATGAATGAACCACTGAAAACTTCATGTTGAGTGAAAAATTAAGTTTGTGTGGGGATGATGATTCAGCTCTTAAATCTCAAATATTTAAATTGACTGTCAGGATAAGTATCCTTGAGTCTGATATTCCAGAACCCAATGAGGGACCTGATACCTCTAAGGGTGGAAAGCGAAAGCTTAGTATTTTTGAAGAGGAACTGGAAGAAAAACTTAAGACTTATGAGTCTAAGTTGGTCACAAATGCTCAACTGAGGAAAGATCTGACCAAGGTAAGGGAAGAGTTAAATCAATTTTTGAAGTGGACTGACTTATTTAAAATTATCTCTAACTTATCTGGTCAGAGTTTCAATGGCAAGAAGGGGCTGGGATGCAGACTAAATAGAACCTCCTTATAATCCCCATAGCAAATACGTGTCTGTAGCTTATAATCTTTTGTGCACACACTGTGGTAGAAATGGTCACATGAAAGAGAAGTGTGAGATTTTGAAAAGAGCTAAAGAAAGGCATGTGAAGTTTGTCAGATCTGAAAATAATCAAGAAAAGAAAAAATGGTGACCTATTCCTCGTGCTAAACCTGTCAGATCCGACAGTAATGTGAAAAAGGAACGTAACGGACCTGGTCCACCCTATCGTTTTAGTAAGAACACCTTGCCCCCTTGGACAGGAAGATTTCTTGTTAAGACTTTTAACAGCTACTGGGAACTCCGTTTGAAGTGGGTTCCCAAGTCTAACAAGTAATTCTTGTGCAGAAGAGAGGAAGCAGTGAGTGTTGGTTCATAAATAGCAAATTCTCATGACACATGACTAAGAAGGTTACAAAACCTCCTCTCTCTCAAGTCACTTCAAGGTGGAGGTGTCTCTTTTGGTGAATGACAAGAAATGTTACATTATTGGTGTAGATTTGTGATGAATGAAATGAAGTTAAGCTCTTATCATATAACTATTTTGTCACAAACTTTCTCTCTCAGGCCATGATCTGTTAACTGCTCGTTATGACAGTCTCACTGACCTCAATGCTCGAGGTGAGAATAATGAGACATGATTGAAGAGATGTGCTCATAAGTGTTGCGTTTCTGCACAAACCTGCGTCAGGGGGCCTGGTCCAGTCTGCATAAAATGATATTTGCAGATAACAAATGTTGTAATGATGATGTTTAAGGAGAAGCAAAACAGACCATCCTTCAGCAAGGCTTATCCGGTGTATAAAATGTGTGCATTAAAAAAGATATTCATGCGCTTTTTGATGAGTCTAGAATAATTGAGAAGTTGCAAAAGAAAGAAAACTCTGAGATGGAGGGACTGCTTCAGAATCAGAGAGATGGTCTAGATAGTGAGCTTGTTGAAGAACATTCTCTTCATAAATCCAGTAATCTCAAGGAAGTTGATGCATATGATGAACCCGATGAGGGACTCGGTCCTCTAGACAGCGTTGAACAAAGATGATGCAGTTCAAACTATAATGTGAATTCTTAAGGTGAGAATGAAGAAGCTGATCAAGCTTAGTTTGAAAGATGCAATGTATGACAGTTGGTTCCTAAACAAGTTGATCGGGTTGTCCAAGTTGCTTCTCACGTCAGAGGTTGGTGAGGCGTTAGTATACTACACCAATCAGAATAGAGGAGGGTGTTTGTCCAACGCATAATAACTCTTTATGTTTGATATTTTTAGCATGACAAAACACCATATTATATTCATTCATCCAAATAAGGAAGTCAGCAAGCAAGCCTTTTCAAGAACTCACAAAGAAGTTTTTAAGGGACCTAGTCCCTGCAAGACTGCGACGTGAAAAGGTGAAAAGACATTTGTCAGAAAAGCTGCAACCTCTGATGCGGTAGGTGCACAACTTTCCCAACAGCAGGCCTTCATCCAATTGGATGGCTTCAACTAATTTGTGGGAAATTATATTATCTCTTTCCAACAAACACAAATTCAAGATTTGGAAAACTAAAACCAAAAGATCTTAAAAAGAGAAGTTCATCTTCAAGGAAGAACTCAAGCACAAAAATACATACAACAAGGACCTGATCAAGAGAAGAAGTGCTTTCTGTACCTGCTGTTGTTCTTAAATGTTTGTATTGAGATTAACTTGTAGGATTCATTTCATTGATTGTTAGAAACGTTTCAAACCTGGTTTAAGTCTTGTAGGAACATAGTTAGGAGTAACTTTGTGTCTTACTGTAAACGTCTATATTAATCAGTTGGGTTAGTATAGTGGGCGGTGTGGTATCCTCTTAGTTGAAGTCTAAGTTATCTAGGGGTGATAGCTTAGTGGGCAGTGTTGTATTTGTTCTGGCTCGTCTAAGTAATAGGTGGTATTGCTTAGTGTGGAGATTAGCATGCTAATATCATGTTGTAATTGTCTTTTACTTTTGCTTGTTGAGGATTAGTGAAAGCGGTTTGAAAAGTCCTGTTGAGAAAAAGTCGTGGTTTTCCTCCCATGAGCAAGGAGGTTTCCACGTAAAGTTGTTTGTTCAATCTTTACTTTTAGTACTTAGTTTACTATTCGTTATTATAACTGTGCTGAAGACCTAGTCCCATCGAAACAAGTGGACACATGTTCTTGCTGAGTCAAGGGACCTGGTCCTTGACTAATAAATGGAAGCATACATTCCAACAGTTTCGCACCCAGTGTTCAGTACCCGCATCCGAATTTGTGTCGGGATGTCTCACAGTGTGGGTAAAGCGCTCTCTAATAGGTAACCAAGGGAACTTGAATGGAGACCTGATTGAGGAGTAAGGAGTACATAACACTCCACCATAACCCTTGTTCATAGCATATTACTATATTGCTTATTTTAACCAGTTTGTGCTTTTGGCGAGTTTTGTTCAAAGATTTCTTTTTAACATCATATCTTCTCTTTTTTATCTAAAGTATTTAGTCACAAAGTTTGACTTCATCTCAGTGATTGTTTTATTTCATTTACTTAATTATCATTGAGTACATGATCATTGATAATTTAGTGGATGGGAATGTTACTTGAAAGAGATGGTAAATGTTATGTAAAGAAAAACCCCCCATCAAGTGCCTTTTTTTGCATTTCCTTCATTTATGTATCTTAACTTTCCCCCTTATGCTTGTTAGAACAATGTCAAAATTAATTCATTTTATCTTTTTAGGGATGAGACTAGTATTTCTTTGTCAATGCATTTAATGTAATTGCTCAATGTCTTGCATTCTTTCTAATAAACTAGTGTTCTGCAACCTTCAACAGGCAGATAAGAGAGGTATGGTTGGTTTGCAGGAACAGGTAATCCTTTAGTAAATCTGTTATCTGATCCTTGAATATGTTTTTGGCGGTTAACTTACTTCTGAAATTTCAGGTTTTTGTTCGGAAAGTGATTGAGCTTCATGATAAATATTTGGCATATGTGAACAACTGTTTCCAAAACCACACTTTTTCACAAGGTATGTGTTAGACCAAAGGATAGTTGTCTAATTTAATTATTCTACTCTGTGCGTTGGGTCTGTGCATCAGGGTAAAAGTAAATTGCTAATATATGTCCTCTGATCACTATCTAGGCACTTAAAGAAGCTTTCGAACTTTCTGCACAAGGGTGTTGCTGGTAGCTCAAGCACTAAACTTCTTTCCACATTCTGCAACGTCATTATCAAAAAGGCAAAAGTGAAAATTTGAGTGATGAAGCCATGGAAGAGAGTTTGGAAAAGGTGAGCTCTTGCTCTATAGATCCCCGTCGCTTCTTTTCCTCAAGAGCATCTGCTTTTTCTTTGTACTACTGGAGTTGGAGAAAGCTGATAATAGATCTTACTTGCAGGTGGTAAAGCTTATATTGATGATAAGGTCTTGTTTGCAAATTTCTATAGGTAGAGTTACCTCTACTGTGTATCTCAACCACTACTCGAATTTTCTTCTTTGTTACAAGTCTACGACTTCCTTTTTTTAGGAGAAGGCTAGATCGACTGTTGTTATTTGATAACAGTGTCAATGATGAACATGAGAGAAGTGTCCTAACAAAGTTGAAGCAGCAGTGTGGGGGGCAGTTCATATCAAAGATGGAGAGAATGGTAAGCTATCTAGATCAATTATGTTAAATTTGAGGCTATGTTCTCTGGTGACATTTAGGTCACAGATTTGACATGGGCAAAGGAAAATCAAGGCAGCTTTGAGGAGTATTTGAGCAATAGTCCAATAACAAATCCAGGAATTGACTTGACGGTGATTGTCTTGACTACTGGCTTTTGGCCTAGCTACAAGTCTTTTGATCTCCACCTCCCAGTAGAAATGGTATATCATATTAATATGTTTATTGGATTTATGTTGATTTTATCTTGGTTTTGACCCTAGTTCCTCTTGCTGGAAGTTCTTCTCTTTCGGGAAGGAATGATGCATGCTTTTTTGCTTGAATCATTTTTCTTTTCAAACGTCCTTTCGTTGATTCATTTTATGTTGTGCATTGTCAGGTTAGGTGCATTGAAACATTCAAGGAGTTTTATCAAACACAAACGAACGATAGGAAACTTAAGTGGACATACTCTTTGGGAACTTGCAACATAAATGGAAATTTTGAGCCAAAGACTATTGAGCTCATTGTCACCACTTATCAGGTTAATTTTTTTCTTACTTTTTGAAATCGGATAGTCTTAGTTAATTTGAAATATTGCTATTACGGTATCAATGAGAAAATGAGATTGAGACTTCTTCCTTTTTCATAGGCTTCTGCTCTGTTGCTATTTAATGCATCAGATAGATTGAGTTATCAGGAAATCATGACTCAATTAAACCTATCAGATGATGATGTTGTTCGGCTTCTTCATTCCCTTTCATGTGCTAAGTACAAGATTCTCAACAAGGAGCCAAGCACCAAAACAATTTCTCCGACTAATGTCTTTGAGTTCAACTCAAAGTTCACTGACAAAATGAGGAGGATCA